CGCATGGCGGAACACGAAAAAGAGTGATACGCATGAATAAAATGAAGTGATTGGAAGAAAAAGGAAAAAAAGAAATTCTACGGAATAAACACGCGCGAAAATGATCTCGTATTTTTATACAACGCACCTTGAAGAGGAGACTTGACTTGGTCCCTCTCGGCCGCTTGGTGCTGCCGCGATTTTCTCTCCAGCTCGAGTTCCTGCACCAGCGATTCTGCGACAAAAAAAAGTACACGAAATTGACAGACAACTGAACAACAAAACGACAGGGCGTGTGCATGTTGTGTGTGGCAAAGCATTTATAATATAGCCTACATAATACAATACCCGTTCCGCTATGTAATCAACGCGCATAATGTAGTCTCACTAGCGTTCTCGGCTTAAGATTAATATCGGCGTTCGGATAACGCGCTCCGTTGCCTCGACAGCGTTGAAGGAATCGCCTCGAGGAGAGAAGTCCGTCGGCTCGCAACGCGCACGGACGGCGCGCGGCGGGAACGACGCGCGGATTCGACGAGGCGTGAACCACGCGCGCGAAGGATGAAACGAAGCGGTAATTAGTGCAAAACCGGCAGCTACCGTCAGCCGCGCGCAAAAGGGGGATGGAATAGGGACGGGCGGGATAACGGACGAAGGCAGGCGTGAAAGGGCCGCGGGTTTGCTCACTGAATTTCGCAAGGATTAGGGTGAAAACTGGAAAATGTCCCTTTAATGATATCGCGCCGAATTAACCGGGCACACGCGTCTCGCTCCTGTCCTTCCGAGCGATTTATGCAACGGGCGACATTTATAAAATTATGCCATTTTCTTCGAGCTAGAGTAGGTTATTATATAAGAGCGAATTGAAAATTTTTACGAGAGTTTTTATGATGAATTCAGTAAATTTCAAAGGTAACATCTAACTGATTCTCACGATTGGAGAGAAGAGAAACTTTTGGCTATATCTTTGACCGTCGATTACAAATAAAAATCACGTAAACGTACTGAAAGAGAGCTGTTTTCTACGATATGTGACTTGCAAAAATCTTCGTACTTTTTAATTACAAAATTGTCTTATTCCAATCGAAATTACAATAGAATGAAACTAAATTTTGAAACTAAATTAAAACAACCAAATCTTTTGATTAAAGGGTAAAAAAGTTTTTGTAAGTAATATATATCGTGCAGAATATATGTATATCTCTCTCAGAGTGCAGAGAATTAAGGATGGTGAAGAGCATTATGTACAGTGCGTGCGAGCGTGCGACGAAAGGACGCGGATCTGATCGGTAAGCGTGAAATGGCGCCTCCTTGAGCAAAGAGCAATGGTAAAATCCAATTGCGAGGCCATTAAGTCCCGGTTAACCGGCGTGCGCGCGGACGTGCGAGAGGAATCGGCATCGACGATGCTCTCTGTCCCGCATTCCTCCCTTTCCCCCGTTCCATCCCTCGCTCCATCTTTATCGTCGGGGCTAGAGACGACGGGGCCGAGATTCCATTATGCTTTGAGCAACAATAGCTGAGGGCTGTTTCGTGGCACGTGGGTGTGAATTCGTGCGTTCGTCAGGGCCGTTATATTCCACGACTTTGGGGCACACGGAGAGCAATGTTTGCGTTTCGCTGAGCCAAATTACCTCTCGCGCCCTTATCCGCGCGCGGGGTGTCGCGTCCCTTTGATATCCAAATGACAATTTAACTGCTCCAGATATAACACTCGCTCGGCGAGTCTCACGGCGAAGGGTGGAGAGCAGAGATAGGTAGGGAAAGGGAAGACACCTCGAGGCGGAGAGCCGATTTAAGGAAACTTTCTTGCTCCATTCGGAACGGTTGAGAATACACCTTTTGTTACATCGAGCCGAGATAAAGAGCACGAAAAAGTGATTT